ATATTGCATATCCCCTTCTTCTTTCTGTCTTCCTCAGGCAGACAAGCCACAGCAGTAATATGTTGTATTTTATATTATAACAGAATATGATGGAGTCTTCTGACAGTAAAAAGCTTAATTTTTAATTTTTTTTTTTTACTAAATGGGTTTAAAAAAAAACCCTTGAGGTCTAAGAAGCCTTAAAGTAGTTTTAGTGACTGTTAAATCACAGAATTTGAGATATTTGTTATACACCATTCAATAGTCTAACGTTTTTCATTAGTAACATGAAAATAAATATAAACTCAATACCTGACAAAAGAACAGTAATTAAAGAAAGGAGGAGGATGTGCAGACAGGGAGGAGCCTTTATCACTTAGTAAAGGTCAGCCCTTGCAAATGAAATTTGTTTTAGCATAAACCAATGGACCTTTGTACATTCAAGAGCAAGATTTAACCAAAACTGAAAAAAAACCAGTGATGAAAAGGAGTGAATCTGTACAGGACAGTGATCTTGTAGAGTAGTAACAGCCTATGAGTGCAATGCTGCAGCAAAAAATATAGGCTAATGTGACCCTGGATATATAAATAGGATATAAAAATAGCCAGGACTCTTAATACATATTTTTAAAAGGAATGATTTTAGAATACTGCATGTGATCCTCTTTTTAAAAATAAAAAAAAAAAAAAAAACAAAAACCATAAAACCTGAAAGAAAATACAGACACTTCAGGAGACAGCAACAACTCTCTTGAGGGCTGGAAGTGAGAGACTTCAAAAGCTCTCTGTGTTTGCCTTATAAATATAAACTTTGCAGTCAATAATAAAGTTCTCAGGGACAAAAAAACCTGCCAATTTTGCCCATTTCTGGGGATCATCTGTAATGGCTCCCTACCTTGCTGGAAGAAACTGAAACTTTTATGCAGTACATACGAGATGTTCCTGAGTTGTTAGTGCTGTCTTCAGAAATCAATGTCTGTTTATTGCTCTGGTTTACTTGCAAATCTTAGGCTTACCCACTCTAGAAGTAACAGTGAAATGTTTAAAATGAGCAGATCAAACTGGGTGATCCAATACCAGACTGTGATTCCATGAAGTTGGCCAAAATCTTCTACTAACTGTGTTAATTCACACATATCCTGTCTGGAGATGTGTAAACAAAAGAAGAAAAGAAACTAGTAAAATTCATGTTTTTGAAAGGCTTTTTTCCTTGGTTGTACAGATATGATTGCAGAGTTCATCTTTAGTAAGAGTATTTTGGAGTGAAAATTAAAATTCCATCCTTTCAGTCCTTGGAGCTCTGCTCATCGTAATTTTAGGTAAAACAGTTTCCTTGGGACCACGTAAAACCTGTGAAAAGATTAATTTCAGTTGTAAAGTCTAATAATAGCAGTGTAAGATAGTATCCAGAAAAAAGGAAACTGAAGCTCAATATGACATAATGAGTAGTAATAATATATATGAAAGTTTGTGCTGGAAAAAAAAAGCTGAACACTTCTAAGAATGAAATGTGTAGGTAACTAAACAATAGGCTTGCAGATATATGTTCAGGTCTGTATATTATTATGCAAGTGTTAGTATCCCCAGTTCAGTTATTTAAGAAATTACATTCAAGTGCTAAATCTGAGTTCTTTTTATCCAAAGAGTTTTTTAAAAGGATCTTTGAGTTCATTTTGAATCATGACATGACTTTGTGCTGGCAGACCTAAACTCCTGTTCACTGTGCAAGTTTTAGAGCCATCACCTCAGAAAAGTGCCTGCTAAAAGTGGAGGTTGGATGTCACAAATGTCAATAACATTGCTTAGTCTCAACCAGTGTACTCTGAGCTTTTCCCGTAAAATAATCACTGCAGTAGCTCCAGACACGCTTCTGTTTATGCTGGCAGCTAATGGCTTGTCCATAATGGACACTTTCCATTTTTTTTAAGAAGGATGGAGCTTTTTATGGCTCCATCACAAAGGAGCATAAATAAGTAAATGTAGGGACAAGGGTCAATAAATATGACTTTGTGATCCCATTAGCTTTTTACGGAATTCTTTCATTATAAGCATCATAGGAGTAGTGCCCACCATCTTTTTTTAGTCTCTTTGCATATGAATTTCCAGTTCTTCTGAAACTTTCCCTGTCCTGCAGGTAGAGGAGAAGCCTCCACTCCTGTGTGTAATTCAGATGTCCACATGCTGGCATTCCTCTTAGCCTGGAGCTCTTTGGCAGAGGGATTTTCTGCCATAAGAGCTGTGAGTTGGAAGTGCCTTGGCAGTACAGATTTGTCTGCCATCAGGGCTGTGCTGCTGGGGATAGGCTGGCTCTTAATCACCACATTTAAAGACAGCTTGGGTGTGTCTGTCCCACGCTGAAGTCTAGCATGTGGATATCTCCAAACCTCTGAAGTGCTTGAGGCTTTTATTGCTTTATCAGTGTCTTCATTTGTGTAGCAGACTCAGTTGAATCCACAGCTTCACTGGAGTTTGTGTTTCTTTGGCACAAACATAAGGTTTACATGATATTTCAGTATTTGCACATTTTTGATTGATAATTACTTTATGTCTTGTAATACATGTGCTGTTGGAAAGACAGTCTTTTCATTTTTATGATTTTTATTTCTGATCCTGAAGGTGATACCGTTCTAGTTCTGGTTAGTAGTTATGTGATGGTTTGAATCCTCCAGTTGGAAAATTCTCCAGTTGGTTTGAATTTTCCAGTTCTTACAGATTTGGTAGCTACAGGTGAGAATATGTGAGCATTCAAGAGCCTTGGAATGTGAAATGTATCAAAAATTGTATTTTAACAAAAGTCAATGACTCATTGGGGATCATTTGGTAAATGCATATGAGGAATATTATTAGATCATTGCTCAACTAAATCTAAACTTAATATACTTTCAGTGATGAATTTACTCTATTTACTCTAGTTTTTAATTTTTTTAATGTATAGCTTTGAGCCTTCAAGTAGTACTTGATTAATTCAGGCAAGGAATTAATTAATTCAGGCTCCACTGAAGAAATGAATTAGTTTTCTTTTCTGTATTTTGGGTCTTGTTCCACAGAAGTATTAATTTTTGAATACCTGGATAATGTTTATTAAATTGCAGTCTTGCTACCACAAAAATTGTAAAACTGAAATGACACTTCAAACCCTAATTAATGCTGCTCATATTCCTACAGGTCTGTAGGAATAGCACTTGACAAAGAGCAAGATATAACTTGAAACTCAGCTGGAAAAAGAGTACATAACAAATAGTCCCTGTTTTCTGGGTGGAGAGATGGAAAGAAGAAAACAAACTCCTAAGATGAACTGAAATATTCTCAGAAACCTGCTGAGCAGTTGGTCCTCTTTATGAAAAAGAAATGTGTAAACCCAATTTGGTTTGGGTTTGGTTTTTTTTGGGTTTTTTTTTTGTTTTTGTTGTTTGTTTTTTTTTTTTGTTTTTTTTTTTTTTTTTTTTTTTTTTTTTTTTTTTTTTTGAGGTAATAGATCCCCAGTTATAATCGACTTAAAAGTTTTAGATACAGGAAACTGCTGTGTCAAATGTCAAGTGAGAAGATGGTTTTTTTGACTCTTCCACAAGAGGATGTGGACACAAACAGAAAATACTATGACAGCTGTGAATAACATAAAAGACAGCAATAGTCTCAATGAGGGTAGTGATTTTTTTTAAAAAAAAGTAAAGTAGGGATTTTAAAGTTATTAACTTATACTCATATTGACAAAGCTTCATACAGTGAAGTGGTGAAGAAGTGGAGAGCAGAATACTCCCCTTTGTTGAATATATTTTTAAAATGTCATTATTTCTTCACATAAACCATTAAGCTTTTATGTGGCTTATGTTGAGCTTTTTAGTTGCCTGTAAGTCTGTTGACAAGACATCAGACTTCAGTTTCAGGTTAAAAGTCACCATCCATTCAAACGTAGAGGAGCTCTAAGTGTCACTAGTACAAAAGAGAAGGGAAGATGCTGGGTCAGGTTCCCTCTAATAAGCTTCCAAGTTCAGTGGCCATGCCAAGGTGCCTTTTCCATAAGGCAGAAAACATGACCTGGCTTCTGCTGCTGCTGTGCTGCTCTCTATAAACACATTAGAGATAGCTGTACATTGATTATTTGGACAGACAAGAGGTAGAAGATAGCACACAGCAATATAAACCCCACAAATGTGTGGATAGTGGGGTCATGTTTCAAGCTAATCGCTTAATTATTTTTCTCTATCATTTAACCATTCAAATAAGAACTGGAATTAGTGGGCTGTAAGGAGGAGCTCAGCAATCAAAACACACCAACTCAATAATTAAAATAAACTGCCCTGTATAATACTTAATTTTGTGTTTAAATCCTAATACAGATTTCTGAAGTCAGAGGGTCGGATGAAACAATTCCATTAGAGGGCAGTAGTACCTGTGGGTAAAATGTCTCATGTGCTGTATATATTTTGTTCAGCATCAGTGAATGGAAGTGAAAAAGGAAGTTAATATAATTTAACGTTAAAATAATGCAGAAACATTTTGTAACATACAATAATGCACATCCTCTCTTATATCAAAAAACCAACATGAATATGACAGAAGTGATGCAAAATATATGCAGCAGATATTAACATTGTGGTACTCCATCCAAGAGAGAAACTGAAGTTGTTTGTCTTTCTGTATTCTCAATTTGTAAATTGTATAACTTTATTTTTGGGAAGTTTATGGGTTTCATTTAAAAAATCTTACTTTTGAAACTGTGTATTTTATTAGCTTTAATGCTGCAGATTTTCCTGTTTTCCGGCAAGGGATTGCAGAATGTGCATGTTTGATCAGGCATCTTTTAGTGGTTAAATATCAGTAGTGTACTGTGATTTGGCAATGATTTCTGCAAAAGATTTAGGGTTTTTTACGAGCTTTGGGACTTTTTTAGGTAAGAAATGTAAGCCATGATAGCCCAAATAAACCTGGCTAACATGGCAAGTTTCAGTCCTTCCTGTTTTAATACTTTGCTGTGTCTAATCCAAGCAATACCACAAACACCATTTCTTTTCCATTTTCAGTTGTGTTACTTGATACTACAACTGCCCTCGGAGAACTAGGATGGAAAACATTTCCCTTAAATGGGGTAAGTCACCATTTTGATTTTTTTTTGTCTGGATTTTGGCATTCTGACACTCTGGAAGTGAATGGGTGGATATTCTTCCAGTATAGACTTGTCTGAAAGATTTTACTCACAACAGAGGCAGCTCCAGTTCTTGGGACTGCAGCTGCCTCTGTTGTGAGTAGGCATTACAGATGCAAGAATTACATAAGTGCAAATTATTATGTTCTTCTCTAGCTTTTCTGAGTACTAAGTATCTCTCTAACTTTAAATCCCATTCTAACTGTTACACATCATAAAGTTTCATATTAAAAAATTCCTGTGCTGGAGGAATGTGTTACGAATCGTTTGTTTTTGTTTTTTTTTTTTTTTTTTGTGAAATAAAAGGAAAAATAATTTTCTGTTTTGCAAATTGGAATAACAATTTTATGGTTTAAGTAAGAACCGGTATGTACTTTAGCATCTGATAATATGGCATCAGGTTACCTAAATCAGAAAAATGAAAACATTAATAGTGTCTGTTGTCCTTGGGGACAGTGAGCATGGGGTGGAGCAGCGTTTTTACTCTCTGAAGTTCAACCATGAGTGCTTTGCCAGTGGCTGCACTTTCAGAACCTTTTTTTTTTTTTTTTTGTGCAGCTAATGCATGGCACAGAGTATCAGGGGCATTTGGAGTTTCACTTTTAAAGTAAGATGCACTATTCTGGAGCATTTAACATGTTCTGCATCAGCCTGTAGTTCTGATGTCACTGTACGTACTGTGTATCACTTATTTTTATACTAGCTTTCATTATCTCTTGATTCTTGTATATGAGGCGTATAATTACTTGCTTCTCTGAAATGAGCTCAGAAAATACTGTTTTTCTGAGAGAAACATCTTGTTCCATTTTCAGTCATTTTATTTGCCATGTTCTGTTCCAGAAGGAAGTAGAAACTGTCTACCCTCAGCACCTTAATAATCCATTTTTATAAAATGCCTTCTGTGTCTTTGCCTTCGGGGATTTCAAGCCATATGACATTTCTTAATCTCAGCCTGTTTTCAACTTTATGGATTACTCTTTTTCTTTGTATTCCTAGGCATAATTTCCCTGTCTCACAGATACTTCTGTGTTTTACATTTTGCATGCAGTCTCATGCAATCTGAGTTATAATTCTGAAAGTTTGTTTCCTTTAAAAATCCCCGACAAAGTAAATGCTGTCATACACCACAATGAGAAATTAATAAAGGAGTTTTTGGTCTAGCAAAAAGTAAGTTATGTCATCTACCATGATAAGAAAATCCAGTGAGGAATGTTTTGCTTGAGCACTGGGATGAGCTCCAGTGAAGTGCAGAGGACATTTGGAAAGCCCACAAGATATAATTGCAGTTATTGTGTAAATTCCTAAAAGCTCTAGGTACTCCAAAATAGGCTCAGTATACAAACACAAAAACATGTGCATGCCAAGTTAATTTAAAACACAGCTGTTATAACATGTATTTTTTGGCTCCTCATACGTACCCTAAACAACAGTTTTGCAGCCTCTTGAGGGTTTTGGGTGTCTTAGGACCTCTGCGTGTCTTAGGACCTCTGCTGTGTATTAAGAACTGCAGCACTTACTAGAATTCATAAAGGAGTTAACATTTCAGTAAGAACCTGGGATTCAATTATTAAAATATTTCCTAAAAACGTACAAAGTGGTTCGGAAAGAAAAGGAGTTAGAGTAAATATTGGGGAGAAGAGGGGTTTGTGGCATAAAATCATAGAATCATTTATATTGGAAAAGACCTTTCAGATCACTGAGTCCAACTGTTAACCCAACACCACCGTGTTCACCATATCCCCAAAGGCCACATTCACACACTTTTTGGACGCTTCCAAGGATGGTGGTTTATGTCCACAGTGCTACCTAATCTGAGTTACTCTTGTATCCTGATATAATCCAGAATATGGCACAATCACTGGTGTGATTGAAATTATCACTGCAGAGGTAAGAATCTGTTTTGTCCCATGATGGGCACATTAGGATTTTCTTGTTTCCTGAAGGAGAGTGACAGATTTTGAATTGTTGGTGTTTTTTGAAAGTAATTTTTGTTAAGGTACTATTGAAATCTAATGTGTTACTTTAATCACACCTTTTTTTATGTGTTTATATATGTAAGAAAAATGTCATTGACATATGATTACTGCTCTGCTGAACATTTTTGATGTTAGGAGGATGGGATGATGGGTTTTCCTGAGCCTGTGACATTAGCAGAAGTCATTAATATACTGGCACACTCAATCACGAGGAATGTTTTCATTAAATTGATTGAAGAGCAACTGAAATAATAATGCTTGGGATTTGGGTAATATTTACTGGCACACTCAGTCACGAGGAATGTTTTCATTAAATTGAAGAGCAACTGAAATAATAATGCTTGGGATTTGGGTAATATTGAGTATGCCTCAGAGATTTTAAATGAACAGGCCAGGGTGAAATGGAATAAAAAAATCAGGAGGTTCTTTTGGAACTTGCAGAACCCTAACCTTTGCCTCTCAGACTTTTTTATTTCTAGTAGATTCATGGCATAACATTTATAAACTTTCAGCAGTTTTGGTCATCATTGAGCTGCAAAGATAACTGTGTTATCTATTTCTTGGGAATATAATATGTGATTTTGTTTTTAAATTTTCTTCCCAGTTATTTGTGCATCCTTCCTGAAGCATGAGAGTGCAATAGTTTTTTCTTACAAATGTGTTTTATTTGTGTGTCAGATTTTTTTCCTTGTATTTGGAACAGGTAATAAATTTAGTGCTTAGAGCTACAAAAATGCAGCATAAAATATTAATATCTCTGAGGTCAATAGCATCAACTTTTGTTGACTGAGTTCCAGTTTTGCTTCTTAGTGATGGGGCTGTCTAAAATTTCTACCTTAATAATGGACACATCTGATACTTCCTCTGTTCTTTGGGCTATAGTTCAACATGACCGATTGATTTATGAAAAAGCACGCACTATGAAAGGAGATCTTTACTCACCAAACTGTCACTCCATAACCTTGAAAATATAGAACAGACGTTTGGGGTTTTTTTGATCGGTACAAAAATGGGAAGACACAAGTTCATGTGTTTCAGAAGAGGATGTGGATGGGAGCTAGTGGGCAGTCTCAAGTGCTCAAGTGCATGTGAAGTAAAGTCCAGCAGTCTAACCAAAGTCAGTTTGCTGACCTTGGGGACACAGTTAGGAACTGGGAAAGAAACAAAAAAAATACGAAAGTCCAACTGAAAAGCAGTGGTCCACAACTTTCCTTTACACGTTAGCAGAAATACTAATAAAATAACATACCTTATTCAACTGAAGTTGGTGGGATGTTTTCCTTCTGTCTTCAATGTTACTTTAAAAAAATATTATTTATTTCCCATTGCATTAATCATTGCAACACAATTTTGTGAGCAAAGTTTGCTCAGAAGCTGTGGTTTGGGGACTGTTGCAGTAAAGGCATGTCCAGCCCTGATAAATTTCTTCCATAGAGTCATAAAATGGTCTGGGTTGGAATGAAGCTCAAATATTGTCCAGTTTGAACTCCCTGCCGTGGGCAGGATGCCACAGGACCACACTGCTCAAACCTCCAACCATCCAGTCCGTCCTTGAACACTTCCAGGGATGTGGCAGCCCCAGCTTTTCTGGGCAACCTGTGCCAGGGCCTCACCACCCTCACAGGAAAGAATTTCTTCCCAATACCTAAACCTCCTCTCTCTCAGTTTAGAGCCATTAGCTCCCATCATATCACTCCATGCCCTTATGAAAAGTCCCTCTCCAGCTCTCTTTTGGCACTGGAAGCTGCTGTAAAGTCCCCCCACAGCCTTCTCCTCTCCAGGCTGAACAAGCCCAACTTGTGCGTAGCCACTCCAAAAATCAGTTTAAAAGGAGGGCAAGGTGACTCACAGCACAAAGCTGTGAGACATTTACATGTAGAAAAGACTTATAAAAGCTATCTTGACTTGTCATAGTAGGCACAATATATGGCCTCAGCAGTAAAGAACATACTAGAAGTCCTCTAAATTATTTGGCAACTCTGTGAGTGATGAAACTACTTTAGTTTCTATAATTATTTGAACAGTTTCCATGTCAATTGGTAATTTACCTATTGATCTATCCAGGGAAATAATTCTGGTTTGAACATCTTGTTTCCATAGGGGATTTTAATTATTTTTTAATAACAGTTGCTGATATACAGTATTACTGTTCTTCCTGTGTTATGAATTTTTTGAGACTAATCTTGTCAAAGTACTGATGTTTTTTCCCTACCAGACTGTTTATATTACCCTCTCTGTTAAAATAATTGTTTTACAGTAAATGCATTCATCAACAATTTATTTTTTAGCTGATTCTTAGCCAATTAGGAGAAATTTTTGTAGTTTATGGTAACAAGAGTTTTGAATGGCTTGGTATTGTTTGTCACAGGTGCCACTGATGTTTTCCTGTGCCAGCCTGCAAACATTTCTTTCAATGCAGCTGCATCCATTTTTACCTTCATCTTTCAAATATCTCAGAAAGTGATGGGGGGAATATATCTTGGAACATTCTTCTACAATACTTAACAATTTTAACTATTCATTTCCTTAAATAGACTGTCTTTGAGCTGTATTTATAAACATAAGGAGGTTTATATACTTAATACCTATTTCCTAAATAAAACAATGGTGTGTTCTCAGCACTGTTTTGGTCACCAGTATAAACACAGCACCAAAGGGCAGCTGGAAAGAAATTAACTCTGCCCCAGAGAGACACAGTAAACATAATTAGAATTCAAGTTGTGTGAAAGTTACCAGGATAAAACAGCAATACCATAAAAAGACTTCTATCTGAAAGTATTTCAGTTTTCTTCCAAACAAATAATAAAATCATTTGGGTAGGAAATTATTTGGATCACTGAGTCTGACTGCAAATTAACACTGCCAAGTCCTCACTAGGCCACATCCATAGGTGCCACATTGACTTGTCTTCCCACATCTTCCAGGGCTGAGGACTCAACTGCATCCCTGGACAGCCTGTTCCAATGC